TATAAACCACCTTTATGACAGCACTATAAACCACCTTTATGACAGCATTGTAAACCACCTTTATGACAGCATTGTAAACCACCATGTTATAGCACTATAAACCACCTTTATGACAGCATTGTAAACCACCATGTTATAGCACTATAAACCACCTTTATGACAGCACTATAAACCACCTTTATGACAGCACTATAAACCACCTTTATGACAGCATTGTAAACCACCTTTCTATGAGTGGTTGGTGGTTGCTCTGGTGTAGTTTGCTCCTTTTTTCCTATCCAAAGTACATCGTCATTATCTCTCCTCGCGGGTCGTAGGTCGTGCTTCTGACCTTTCCTTCTGTTGTTTCTGTCTGTCTGTCTTCCTTTTCCCCAGCACGAATTGACCATTATTGTGTCGATGTGCTTCTCTTTACTCAAACCAACATAGAAATTATCTCGCCTCCTTTTTTGTGTTTGTTACACCCTTGTAACACCTCTAATCTTTGGTGGGTGGTTGGCGGGTGCTCTGGTGTGGTTTGCTTCTTCTTTCCTGTCAAACATCTACCATCCTTATCTCCCCTTCTTTTTTATGTTTGTTACTCTCTTGTAACACCTCTAATCTTTTGGCGTTCATATGACCTTATGCAGTTGCGAGCGCCGTAAAACCTCTACTAAAACTAAACTAAATCTAATCTTTGGCACTGATGTGACCCAATTGTGTTGCAAGTGCTGTAAAACTCTTACTATAACTAAAACTTCATATATATAATTGTTGCTCTACAGGAACTTGGTTCAGTGGGTGGTGGGCGGGTGCTCTGGTGTGGTCTGCTCCTTTTTTCCTATCAAACATCTATCATCCTCATCTCTTCTCCTTCTTTTTCTGTGTTTGTAATTCTCTAGTAAGACCTCCAGTCTTCGGCACTCAAATGAACTATGTGTGTTGCAAGTGCTGTGAAACTCTTACTAAAACTAGATTTTGATGGCATGATTGATCTGGGGGGGGATGGATGGATGATGGGAGTGCCGTTTTGGGCTGTTATCTTTTTTATTCTTCTGATCTTCACTCCTCCCATATCTCCTGTCTAGGACTGATGAAACAACTTTTGAAAAACTGCTCATCCAGCTCTGTTGGTCGGTGGTTGGCGGGTGCTCTAGTGTGGTTTGCTCCTTCTTTCCTACCAAACATCTATCTTCCTGATCTCTCTTCCTTTTTTGTGTTTGTTACTCTCTTGTAACATCTCTAATCTTCGGCACTTATATGACCTTATTGTGTTGCAAGTACTAAACTCTGTTGTGTGTTTTCACAGAAAATTCGTGGACCCAAAAAGACTACCAGCCAGGTTCTGAATGTGGGCAGCCTCTTAAACCACAAGGGCAAGAACTCTTCTACTCAGAGAACCATTCTGGACTACGCCACCCCGAAGAAAGGAAAGGGCGCAGCGCAAGAGTCGAGCTCGTCGGATGAGCCGGTGCAGAACTCTTCAGTGGCTGGGGTGAAGAGAAAGCTGACCGTCGACGCCAATGTGAGCCCGAAGAAGAAAAAAAAGAATAGTGACAACACGTCGGATTCTGACGAGGAAGATATCGTGAAGTCTCAAGGGAAAGTGAAAAAATCACCGAAGAAGAAAAAGGGGAATAATGACGATACGTCAGACTCTGACGAGGAAGAAATCGTGAAGTCTCAAGGGAAAGTGAAAAAGTCGAAGAAGAAGAAAAAGGTGAATAATGACGACCCGTCAGACTCTGACGAGGAAAAAATCGGGATGTCTCAAGGGAAAGCGAAAAAGTCTAAGAAGAAGAAAAAGGTGAACCATGATTTGTTGGACGTTGCTGAGGAGAAAACGGTGAAATCACAAGGGGAAGGGGAAAAATCACCAAAGAAAGTCATGCAAGTCCTACCAGAAGAGTCTTCGGACAGTGAGGACTCTGAGGATGAGATAAAAATCAAGAGAAAGAAAAGCAAGTTGAAATCGCCAGAAAAACCCAAGCCGCCGGTCAAGAAAAAGATTGTTAAAGAAGAGGAGCCGGATATGGATGATTTGTTGAGTTTTTAGTTTTTTCTTTGATTGAGACTGGTGCAGATGATTTGTTGAGTTTTTAGGTTTTTCTTTGATTGAGACTGGTGCGGGTGATTTGTTGAGTTTTTAGGTTTTTCTTTGATTGAGACTGGTGCGGGTGATTTGTTGAGTTTTTAGGCTTACGACTGAGACAGGGGTAGATGATTTGATTTTTTAGGCTGTCCTTGATTGATGCTTGTGCGAATGATTTTTTGAGTTTGAAATTGGTACAGATGATTTGTTGTGTTTTTGAGCTCTTGATCGAGGCTTGATATATGAATGATTTGTTAAGTGTTTAGGCTTTCTACTGAAGCAGGTATGTGTGGATGATTTATTGAGTTTGAAATGAAATTGGGACGGGTGATTTGTTGAGTTTTTAGTCTCTTTGATTCAGACTGTGTATGGATGATTTGTTGAGATTTTAGACTCTTTGTTTGATACTGATGCGGATGATTTTTATTTTGAGTTTTTCAATCTCCTTGATTGAGGCTGGATGTGGTTGTTTTACCAAGTTGTGCCTAAAAAAAAGTTTTGAAACAGCTGTGTGAATTGTGGCATCATTAGTTTTTACCCCAATCCCTGTTTTGTATCCTATTCCTGTGTACTTTTGATTGCTGGAGCTAGTGGAAGTTCAATTATTATTATAACACATAGCATTGCGTTGCACATTTCCATTGTTTACAATGCTCAATGCGCTGTACAAGACATTAATTGATAGCCTCTAATGGCTATATATATAGGCAGCACTCAAGCACAAGGGCATATGAAATGACACATGTATATATATATATATATATATACAGTGCAGCCTCTCTATAACGACATCCTCTGTATATATAGCAACATGGTGCCGAGGTCCCTATTTTTTCCTTATATGCCATTAGTAACTTTTGGTTGCCTCTCATAACAACTTTTTCTGGTCCCTACGATGTGGTTATAGAGAGGCTGCACTGTATGTCAACGTAATAGGATGCGTTTTTCTGAATAATTTTTGTATGATTTCAATCCTTTGGACGTGTATGGGGAACATTTTGAAGGCTAGGTAGGTGTTTGGCTTAGTGGTCGGAGTTGGAATGATAGGGACAAAAAAGTAGAGACTGTAGATCAAAGTGTGTGTCTGAGTCTGAGCATAAATGTTTGAGTTTGGCTGTTTTGTTGTGGTCGGAGGGCTGTTTTCTTTTTGTTACACCCCAACCCACTTGGGGAGAGAGATAATATGTACATGATTTAATATCGGTAACATTCATGATTGTTTCGATCCTGATGTTCGTTGGTGTTATATTTTAAATATTATTTTCCTGTGTAAATATGTATAAAACAAAATTTATATTTTCAAGAGATTGAGAGAAATGTAGGTGTAACACTTTGCCGCCTCAATGCTCATATAGTAAAACAAACTCTTGTCATCAAAGGCAAAGGCATTTTGGGGAAAATCCAAAGAAACTGGGTGGTACTGGCAGACATCGCCGATCGGCGAGATGAGGTGGCTAAGTGTTTTTTAAAAAAAATATTTCCCCATTTCTTTCCCTGTTGATTGTTGTGTTTCTAATTCTAGTCTTTGTTTTATGTTTAGCCTCAGATTTTCTCACTGCTAGACTGTAACTGGAAGTGTATGTGCTAGACTGTAACTGGAAGTGTATGTGCTAGACTGTAACTGGAAGTGTATGTGCTATACTGTAACTGGAAGTGTATGTGCTAGACTGTAACTGGAAGTGTATGTGCTAGACTGTAACTGGAAGTGTATGTGCTAGACTGTAACTGGAAGTGTATGTGCTAGACTGTAACTGGAAGTGTATGTGCTAGACTGTAACTGGAAGTGTATGTGCTGACTGTAACTGGAAGTGTATATGCTAGACTGTAACTGGAAGTGTATGTGCTAGACTGTAACTGGAAGTGTATGTGCTAGACTGTAACTGGAAGTGTATGTGCTATACTGTAACTGGAAGTGTATGTGCTGACTGTTACTGGAAGTGTATGTGCTATACTGTAACTGGAAGTGTATGTGCTTACTGTAACTGGAAGTGTATGTGCTGACTGTAACTGGAAGTGTATGTGCTGACTGTAACTGTGGGGGGCTTTTTTCTCTCTTGTGTAGATGTCAGTATGAGATGGGGATTATGTACCACATATTCATGTTGTGGTACTAGAGCCTAATAATTTGATGTGTATTAAGGTCATATGCCATTCAATTCCTATCCCCCCTTCCAACCAAAAAGTCAATTTCTATTTTGTGCTATTTTCTTCTATTCTTCTACTTTACGAGATGTTCCTCTCTCCCGAGTGGGTTTTGTTGCAGATGTAACACTGTAAAAAAATACAGTTTTTACAATTTAACAGGAAAGCCAAAATAAAACAAAAACAACTGAATATTGTTACCAAACTGTTTGCCAACATCCCAAGACAGTATTTTTAAGATTACAGTTTTGTTAACTTCCTCCTCATTATCTTTACACAGTACAGCTAATTTTATTGGTAACAACATTGTATTTTGGCTCTTCTGTAAAGTTGTAAAAATGTAAAAACTACATATGTGTAGATCTTGGCCTACTGTATTTTAAAAGGGAGTGCTTATTTAGGCCACATATGGCCTAAATAAGGTAAGGGAGGGGGGTTTAGCTTATTTAGGCCACACATGCTCAAACTACCCTTTTCAGGCAACTGAGTTCATTCCACTTTCATAATGGTGCACCTTTCTCATTTAGTATGGTTTTGCCTCAGTGTACAACTTATAAATCATAATCATAATGAATATTGTAAAGAACAAAGCACAATACGCAAAATTTTGCTCAATTCCAATGGTTTGAATGAGGGCCGGATTTTTCCTTCATGGAGGGGCAAAAGCTAGGCTACCATTTTGGCACACTTTGGTCAAGTGAAAAGGTCAAATCCTCCGAATGGACTTCCGGGTTAAATTTGGGGTATAAAAAGTGTGTATACTACGTGGCTGAGTCAAAGTTACACTATCTTTGCCTGAGTGACACTCTCTCGTACTGTCTTGTAGTAGTACGTGTAGGCTAGTAGGCCTAGTAGTAGTAGTAGCAAAGATCGTGTAGAGAATATTTGGTAGTAGATTCTATCTAGTAGGCAGTTTAGTGAACGTGCTCGCGGCAGGGCGAATCGGCCTCGATAAGCCCCGTAGAATTTTGTGATCGGCCACGAAGCCTCGTGTTTTGATGGGTCTAGATCTAGATCTAAACAACTCAGTGCTATTCGGACTGCCACATCCGACAGGCCTAGATCTACATCTTTTTAAAAGGAAAAGAAAGATCATCAAAATTGTTGAATTCGCATGAAAATCGATTAGGTAGAACTAGAACTATTAAAACTTGCTTCTGAAAACAAGGCAATTTTTAAACTCGATGAAATAAAAACTACTGACTGTGTACTGTGTTATTCTGTATAAAAATAAATTATGAAACTTCAGGACGTAGATCTTTTATTATTTACCAGCATCTTTTCACGCCTGAGCTGTAGAGGTTGAAGTTTTCACAACACTAATAGATCTAGTAATAGGGTTAGGTAATACGGCTTTCCGTATAAAATGCATAGATCTACAAAAGCCGACCACCGAATCGACCGGGCGCCTCGGTCTCCCCTGCACTCTGATTCAATATTTTTAAAAAAATGCTAATCAATGAAAATTGCAAATTGATAATAATAGTATAGTCCTGTAGAGGATAGGTGGACTCCGGGGTCTGCATAGCGAAATACTAGGTTTTAGGATGTGGACACCGGAGTCACCGTAGTGAAATAGGGTTTGGTTTAAGTAAGGATTGGTACTAGGTTTTAGGACAGGTGGACCCTGGGGTCACCGCAGTGAAATAAGTAGGTTTCTTTAAAGATTGGTGGAACCCGGAGTCACCATAGCCATAGAGGATTAAGAAGGTTTAATTAAGGATTGGTGGACCCCCGGGACACCTTGATTAAACCTACTTATTTTACTACGGTGACTGCAGGATCCACCTATTCTAAAACCTAACTAGTGTTTCGTTTGGTAGACCCTGGGGTCCACCTTAAACCTACCTATTTCACTACGTTGACTCCAGGGTCCACCAATCCTTAAAATTAAACTTAGATCTATCTACATGTACTTATTTCACTACATTGACCCCAGGGTCCACCAATCCTTAATTAAACCTAGATCTACTGATTTCACTACATTGACCCCGTGGTCCTCCAATCCTTAATTAAACCTATATCTACTTATAATTTCACTACTTTGACCACGGGCTCTGCCAGTCCTATTATAAAATAAACTTAGATCTACTTATTTCATTATGTTGACCCCGGGGTCCACCGATCCTTAGTTAAACCTAGATCTACTTATTTCACTACGCTGACTCCGGGGTTCACATCCTAAAACCTAACATTTTGTTAGGTAGACCCCGGGGTCCACCTATCCTTTTGGCTAGATAGACCCCGTAGTCCGCCTATCCACTTTCTTGATAATAACTGAAAACAATACATGGCAGTTGTCATTTATAGTGAAGAAAAATGAGGGGGAAAAAATATAATTAGGTAGACTTTAATTTGTCCAAAAAATTGCAAGTGCAAGTGAAGATCATAAAATAATTTTGTTATTTTCTGGTCACCTTTCCAAGGACCTTAAATTGATTCTACATCACATGTCATGTACGATACGGCTGTGAAGGAAAATGGATGTGAAGAGTTTTAAAGAAATAATAATGTAACTTGTAAAGAAAACAATGCTTTACATTGGTTTGGTTATTTTGACTACATATGTGGCCTAAATAAGGTAAGGGAGGGGGGTTTAGCTTATTCAGGCCACAGGTGTGGCCTAAATAAGGTAAGGGAGGGGGGTTTAGCTTATTCAGGCCACCTGTGGCCTAAATAAGGTCACCCATTTTAAAAACTGATGGCAGCATATCGTGCCAGTTGACTGTGAATTGAAAGTGCAGTCTAGCGCACGTGCAGCAAACAGGTTTCAGGTCCCGAACTAAAAAAAAAAATTACCGTATCATGTATTCTTGTATTTTATAAAAATGTGCATAACAAAATTCTGACATAACATAATGATTTCCGTACCCCTCTGATATCGTTATGTGCGTGTTAGACTATATATTTTGTAAGCTGCTCATAAGCAGAAATTTTTATGTTTGCCCCTTGGGACATTTATTTGATGGCTGATGATTTTTGTGTGTGTGAGACTGGGGGAGACCTGTGGTACCTATTACTGCTGCTGCCTATTGCTATTGGAGTCAGATCGGTGCATTTCACAAATAAACTTCACGTACATGTACTACCAAATACGCTTCTTATTTCTGTGTCCTTTTTGCCGTTACATCACTCAATTCTGGATAGGTCAGGAAGAAAAGTAAACATCGGGCGGTTGGTCCTACTTCTAACTTGTTGTTTCCAGTTGTTTCTGTCGGTCTACTTTTTCCCAGCACGAAATGACCACTCACAATCGGACCCTGATGAACTACATCTATAAGATCATAGGTCATCTTAAACTGACTGGTTGCTTATTATATGTACTTTCATACAGAATCAACAAAACGAACTGAGGCACAAAAAAAGATCGCTGTACTGTGTATTACATCCGATTTAATAGCCATAATAATAATTTTAAAATGACATTGACAGTGCGTATCTCGTAATCTGCAACCATAAAGCATTCACACACACAAAAATTTGACCGTGTCACATCCAGACTCTATACTATTACTATATCATCCTTTCCTTGTTCATCAATTCTTACACACAAAAATCTGAGTGCATTGCAAGAGGAGAATAAAATGGCAAGTAAAAAAAAATAAAAAATTTTTCTTTCAAAAATTGTGTAAAATAGTAAAAGTAAATGTGAGGGTTTGATTTGTTTCACATTTCAAAACAAGTCGTGAACCCAGCCTGCCGTGTAAGCTTAAGGAATAAGAACGAAGAAGAAGAAATATCTTGTATCTCCACAAATAACACTTGGGAGTTGGGAGGACAGAAACGAGACGCGGCCAAGATGAACATGGCCGCCTCTTTCTCTCTCCACACCCGGCTGTGTATTGCACCAGGGGAAACACAACAATCTATACAGAATCTATAAATAGGGACAGAAAAATCTCACCACAAACTTACACAAACCTAAAAGTGCTATAAGTACAGCAGAGAAAGACAAAAACAAACAACCCTAGCACCTCGTCTTTAATTTAAAGTTAAAAAAGCAAGACTCCATCAATCTCATAATGGCCACATTTTGCCAGGACAACAACGGAAGTAGAAGAAGCAGAGTGCCCCCCAGTGATCACTCACTTTCACACTCAGATACAACTCTCTATTCCAACAGATCATCTTCAACATATTATTTCTTTGAGCTCTCTTTTTATACCTCTATCTGAGCATCTCTCTCTCTCTCTCTTCGAATTCGTCTTTCAAAGCGCCAGTCAGTGTCATTCTCACCTTCATAACTAAAGCTGCTGAGGTAGCCCAGCACAGACTCAACAGATTGACACACACACAAATCGCAATCAACAGACTGACGCATGCACAAATCGCGATACAAGAAACCAGTCACTCAAACTGTCTTTCACTCCCACAGACACAAACAACCATCCAACACGTACTCACTCACAGTTCCTTCAACTTCCAGAACAAACAAAAATAAATATCATTATAACTTAACTTAACAACCATCTACCGTTTAAATTCTTCAAAATGGAGACAATGTAATTCTGAAAAGAAAACTTTTTAAAAATTCCAGTGACGGTAAGAACTTTGTGTGGACACTTACACTACACTTACAGAGTGAGAAAAGACAGAGGTGGGACTTTGAGCCTAACGTGCGAGTACAAGAGGAACCTGGAGTCCATTCACAGAGAACAATGGACAGAAAAGTGGAAAGACAAGAAATGATGTCAAAAAATTATCCCAAGATAGAGAAAGTTGGAAAAGAGTTTGTTGGGGGCCTATACCCTGCCCGTGGTGAGAGAGGTGATGATGACGATGAAGAAGATCAAGTCTCGTCTGCCTTGCCAAACGTAGAAACCTACAGCGCCGAGGCACCAATAGTGACCACCAATCAGCTTTCTTCACTTGTCTGGCTACGGTTATTTTTAGAACATGTTGGATGGCTCGGTGCAAGTACTGCAAGGTCGCGCCACACGCCAAACTGCACAATGGCATCCGTGGAGTCTGGCATACAGCCACTGATGTTCTCATTGGCTACACCAGCATGCGGGGGCTCAGTTCAAGTTCTATTACTCACAAAGAATATTTTTACAGCAAAACTTTCCGATTCTCTGTTTGGCAGGCAAAAAGACTTGTGAAAAACTTCCCAAACATACAAGAAGACGAACAATAATATAATGTTATACGTAAAAAATCAAAAAAATCTACTATTTCAGGAACCAACATTCCATCCTTCAGGAACTCTTTTATTTATGACACTTTGTGGAGTACAGGCAGGCAGGCAGCAGCCCCCGACCCTAGATCCTTCCTCTCCCTACTCTTGGTTTTGTCAAAACCCACAAACCCGTGGGGAACATTCAAATAAACCCGGGGAGAATGTCAAACAAAACGAGCAAACCGTTCAACGGACCAGGGACACCGTAAAAACAAACAACCCTGAACAGTCTGGTAAACAAACATAACGGATAACTCCACTCCATGAGGGAGAGGGATGGGTTTGGAGGAGTCACCAGTGTCCGGCCTGTCAATCACGTCACAGCTCCGCCCCCTCCACTACGACGTCTGTATAGAGTCGAGATGTTTCTCCAGGAACTCCCGGACCTTGGTGTCCTTGAGCTGAGACTCGGGCTGTTGGGTCTGGGGAACAGGAAAGTGTTAAAAAAAGAAAGTTTTAGTAAAGAGTTTTTAGTTTGTTTGAGTAGACGGTTTACGGCGCTCGCAACTGCATAATGTCATATGAGCGCCATGGGGTGGGTGTCAACAGAGAAATCTTTACAGGGAATCAGACTTACTCTGCTCACCTCTCTAGCTTCAACAGCACAGTCTGCTTCGACTATCAAGGCATCCCGGAAAAAGCGGGTCACAAGAGAGTGACAAACATACAAAAGAAATTGAGGGAAAAAAACGATTGTAAGGATTAGGAAAAAAAGGCAGCAGTTCCCTGTTGCAGTTCAGGCACAGTTGTGAGCATGACATTGAGGAATCACCCCTTGTACAATTATAATTCTACTGTGAATAAGAATAAGTTAATATTCCCCCTTTGGGAATGGCCTAAAGGCACTTCAGTAAGTTCAGTCAGTGGGTGGTGCCGTGCTGTAAAGATTTTGTTTTGTTTTGTTTGTTTGTTTAGTATAGGGTTTTACAGCGCTCGCAACTGCATAAGGTCATATGAGCGCGCGGGACACACCTAATACTTTTTCGTTGGTAGGAAATTTTGAATTTTGCCCGGGTGGCGGCCGAAGCCTACTCTTATCGATTTTAGACCACCAAGGGATCTTTAACGTGCGCAACTTGCACACGGGCCCTCCGAGATTTTTCGCCCTTGTCCGAGAAGGCTAGGTGTAGATCTTTCCTACCAGAAGATCAGGGGTGTGGCAGAAAGACAGCAGTAAGGAGGAGCCAAGGAGTAGCAGTAGAAAGGCTGCAGAAAGAGTCAGGAGCCCAGAGGAGGGGGCAAAGGAGGTGAGGGGGTGGGGGCAGAAAGTGGAAATGAAAGCAGACAACAGAACATTGTTAGAGATCAGGAAAGGATGTGAAAGGAGACAATTTTAGAGAAGAAAATTTTTTGGTCGCTACCCGGAATCGAACCCGGGACCTTTGAATGAGAGGCCAACACCTTAACCTCTAGGCCACGAGAGCCCCCCGTAAAGATTTTATGTCACTTGCAACACAATAAGGTCATATAAGTGCTGAAGATTAGAGGTAATAGTTTAGTTTTAGAAAGAGTTTTACCGCACTTGCAACACAATTAGGTCATACAAGTGCTGAGGATTAGAGTTGTTACAAGAGCATAATAAAGACAAAAGAGGAGGTAGAGGAGAGATGGGAACGATAGATGTTTGATGGGAAGGAAGGCGCAACCTGCCAACCACCCATGAAGAAAAAGTACAAGATTTCTCTCTCCCTCTCTCTCTCACACACACACACAAGATAAGCCCCCGCTGCACCCACCAGCTCACCTTGTACCTGATCTGTATCTGCTTAGCGGCCCACGAGGCGAACTTGAGGTTCATCTGTTTGTCTCTCTCTCTCTCTCACACACACACACATTCACACACACACACCCAGCTCACCTTGTATTTGATCTGTATCTGTTCGGCGGCCCATGAGGCGTACTTGAGGTTCATCTGTTTGTCCTTGGCTCCTTTGCTGGAGCTGCTGCCCAGGTTGGAAGCAGACTGGAACAAAACAGCGGAAAGATAATCACACTCCTTTGTTTGTGGTGAGCAGCAAGGTAAGATAAGATACATCTTTATTGTCCAGATCCTGGCACATTGGGTTTGGAGTTTCACCACGTACACACATACACACACGCCCATACACACACAGTAACATGCACACACACGCAGGCTTACAGTCACAAGCATAAAATAAATGAACAGTAATATAAACAATAATAATCTTAATTAAACTAGATACATACTCAGTATTCTGGCTGTAACTAAACGTTATTCTGATGCATGCTCAAAGGTGATATGAATACTTGTAACACTAATTTGTTTGTTTGTTAGTGGTGAGCAGAAACATTACACTAATAATATCTTTGACTTTGAGTCAAATAAAACAAGTTGTAACTCCTAAATACTGATTATGAAGAATTTTTTCCTAGTTGGACCCAAAATGCAATTCCTAACACGATAAAAATGGCAGAGGAAAATTTCAGTGTTTGATGATTTATGCCCCAGGTCACTGGAAGAATTTAAAAAAGTTCGGGAACAGTTTAACCCTATCCGTACGTCGTGTTTTTACTATCGTGTCCATATGACGTGGGGAGCTCTGTGCCACCATTTTTCCAAAGAGGAAATTTACTCGTTAATCCGATCCGTACACGTTGCACAGCAGTCTGTCAAAATTAATTTTTGAGAAATACGGAAAGTTTCAAAGAGACCTTCCTACTAGAAGTATTCTAAAATGTGAAGACTACAACCCCGGGGTACAAAATGACCCCAGGGCATACGGACAGGGTTAAAACTCCAAGCTTGGGAGCCAGAACGTACCAAGAAGAGTCCGTAGAGAGCCCTCAGGTTGTTGGTGTTGAGCTTGACAGCCTGGGCGAAGTATGTGCGAGCCAGCTCCATGTTCTCGCTGCCGCCCTGTGTGTAGCGGATCTGAAACACGGCGTTTGGAGAGTTTTACAGCACTTGCAGCAGCAGTAAGGTCATATGAGAGCAAAGAGTAGAGTTTTACAGCACTTGCAGCAGCAGCCAGGTCATATGAGAGCAAAGAGTAGAGTTTTACAGCACTTGCAGCAGCAGCCAGGTCATATGAGAGCAAAGAGTAGAGTTTTACAGCACTTGCAGCAGCAGCCAGGTCATATGAGAGCCAAAGAGTAGACTTTTACAGCACTTGCAGCAACAGTCAGGTCATATGAGAGCCAAAGAGTAGAGTTTTACAGGAGATGATTTGTCTGTTTCACTAACCACAGCTAATTGTCTGTGTGTGCGAGTGTGTGTGAGTGTACTGACCTCGGCGTATTTCTGGTGTAGCAGATGGTTGTGTGTGTGAGTGTGTATGTATGTGAATGTGTGTGTGCGTGCGAGTGTGTGTGTGTGTGTGAGTGTATATGTGCGTGTACTGACCTCGGCGTATTTCTGGTGGAACTGATGGTTGTGTGTGAGTATGTGTGTGTGTGTGAGTGTAAGTGTGTGTGCGAGTGTGTGTGTGTGTGTGTGTGTGTGAGTGTACTGACCTCGGCGTATTTCTGGTAGAGCAGATGGTTGTGTGTGTGAGTGTGTATGTATGTGAATGTGTGTGTGTGTGCGTGTGAGTGTGTGTGTGTGTGTGAGTGTATATGTGCGTGTACTGACCTCGGCGTATTTCTGGTGGAGCTGATGGTTGTGTGTGTGTGTGTGTGTGTGTGTGTGTGAGTGAGTGTGTGTATGTGTGAGTGTACTGACCTCAGCGTACTTTTGATGGAACAGATGGGGGTGTGTGTGTGTGTGTGTGTGTGTGTGTGTGTGTGTGAGTGTGTGAGAGTGTATATGTGCGTGTACTGACCTCGGCATACTTCTGGTGGAACAGATGGTTGTGTGGGTTGGACATGATGAGCTCCTCCAGACAGAAAGCGGCGTTGTTGTAGTCGTGTTGGTTCAGGTAAAGGTCACACAGCTCGTTCCACGCCTCGTAGTCCGTCATAAACCTATGGCGGGGACGACGACGACGAAGGTAGACACATGTTAATATTTGAGACCATCACACACACACGTAGGATTTACACTGGGTCTAAGGTTTAGTAAGAGTTTTACGTCACTTGCAACACAATGAGATCATATAAGTGCCAAAGATTAGAGGTGTTACAAGAATACAAAAAAGAAGGAGGAGAGATAAAAATGATAGATGTTTGACAGGAAAGAAGGAGCAAACCACACTAGAGCACCTGCCAACCACCCACACACACGCCCTAGTAGGTTAATATTTGAGACCATGACACACACACAAATACAAACACGTGGGATTTACACGCAGACACTGGGTACAGAGGGACAGTACAGATGCAGGTCCTTCCAGGGACACTTTCCAACCAGCAACACAAATAAGCATCATACAGATGAGACATCACATAGATGAGACTGACAGTTTTAAAAGTTACAGTAGCCATTTTTAATCAATGGCAGCGAAAAACGGAGGAAAATGTCAATATTCGAAAGATATCCAGACAAATAAAAACAGAGCAAGGACATTCTGCTAAGAAAACGGAGAGGGTTCTATGGCTCTAAAAAGTGTCCAGTCGAACATGCTTACATTGTTCTATTGTATGAGAAATGGAGAAAAACTCACTCTTTCAGGTACTCGTTCAACCTTTGAATGGCCTCGGAGGTTTTCTGTCTTGCTTTCAAGATGGCGATCTGTCGCTTCCGAGCATACTAAATGGGCAGGGGGGAAGGGTGAGAAAAAGTTTTTAAATTATTGATGAAAAACAACCAAAAAAACAAAACTTCTTCAAACTCTCCAAACAGAATGTGGACGTTCATTCTTTATCATCATTTTGTTAACTATAGTAGATATTGTCCAACATGTAGAAGACTGGGATACAATCATGATACAGAAAAAAAGGGAAGGGGAGCGTGGTAGTTTGTACAGGGGATTGTCTTCGACAGGTTGTCTGTGCAGGTCTGACTGTAATTACAGCCAATGTTTAACCCTTTACTTCCAGTTCTAATAATAATAATAATATAATAATAATATATAACATTTATATAGCGCATTTCCAAAAAAGTAGCTCAATGCGCTTTACATTGGAATACCAGTTCTGTATCCTTTAGCAATGCACACACTAGCAAAGTAGTAAAGCGTTAATAATTTTGAAAAGTAGAGATAAGAACCTCAAAGTTTAGAATATTTAATGAACTCGCTGAACTGTTTTCTGACTCAAACATGAAAATATACGAAAAAGGAATTCTCAATTTTCTTTCTACATAAAGTGAACGGCCTGCTTCAAATGTGTTTCAACAGTAAAAGGTTTATCCAATTTATAACATAAAACTGTGGGTTAGATTTATAACTGCCACAGTCATGAAAAAAAGAAAAAAAGGCACATTTACTTCAAATCAAAGAAAACGATTACATTGAAGAAAAGTCTGAAGGCAAACCATTAATAAATTAAAGAACACCACCAACTGAAATGAGAGATTTTCTGCAAAAATCAACTTTTATTAAAACATTTTGTAAAGCAAGAAGAGCCATACTTACCATGTTTGTCTCATCAATCTTCAAGATATTTTTGTATTCTTCTTCTGCCTTTTCATATCTGAAACACACAAAAAATAAAGCGGTAATTTAGCATTCCTTTTTTTAAAACAATAAAATAACAGTTATAAATTTAACAATTCAAAGTCTGGCAAAATTATCTTCAGAGGTAAAAACGTTTTGACTATCCTTAACATAGAGCAAAACAAAGAGCTAACTTGATTTTCAGTTTTTGTGTTATAAAAATAATGAAGAATTTCGTCAGAAAGCAGATGCATTCTCATTAGGAAGAGAAATTCTTCATTTCAACATCAACAGACAAAACAAAAAACTTATTTTAACCCCCCCCCCCCCCCCCCAAAAAGGACAAAGCCAATTACAACAATAAAAGAAGAGACAGAAATTCTCACAAGCTCACCAGTTCTCAATACTGGAGAGTAAATCATGAACCAAAACACAGAAAGCAAGCTGCGAATTGAGAATATTGCTTTGGTTAAAACTGAAAATAGAAGACGAATATATCACACTTACTCCGACTGGGCCTCATACATCATCCCTTGCAACCGCCTCACTCTCAAACTTCGGTGGAATTTCTGATCTAGTAGAGAGATGCAGTCCTGAAATAACAAGCAAATATTACAATCACTGACTCAAGTAGTGGTGTTTATTTGTCTTTCGGGACTGAAAAAAAAGTACCATCAGTGGGTTTAGAAAACGTAACAGTAAAAAGTATTTTTAGCTATCGAACCAGCAACCTGCATCCCCCCCCCCTTACTGGGACTACACGCTGAAGTTCCCTTTCCATATCATGGTTTATCTTGCCTCCTGGGAAAGCATAATATTGACACAAACCCGCCTACCACTCCTTGAGCAAAATTAGAGGAGTTTTCCCCAAAATCTCCCCTTGAGATCAGACAAAAACTCACCTCTGCTATATCAAACTTCTGGCAGTCTAGGGCAGCGGTGCAAACTTGCTCGTACACAAGCCACACTGTTTGTTGTCGCGGTGGGATGATGGAGGAAATGAAGAGGAAGAAACAACCGAAAAACAAATCAACACATATGTTTGCGAAATAGCATGTTTTACGAATTTCAACTGAAATTCAGTAAAACGCAAAATTTCACAACATTCTAAAAATCAACCATATCCTCATGTACTTGTGTGCAGTAAAGAACAAATTCATTTGAAACTGACACTGCCAAACTGAGGGAAAGTGATGACAAGGATAAGCAGCAGTTGAAGCCAGTATTCCAGGGGGATGAGAGAAAAGGAGAAATTTAAGGTCTGTTAGTCTTAGAGTTTACAAGGCAAAGAATATTCATTTTAGATTTTTAAGAGGGCGTGTATGTCACATTAAGCAGTCTTTTGTAAAAACACTCTCAATTTCTTCAATGTATCATCAATAATTTATTCAGTAACAAGACCGCAATACAAACAGGGTGAATCATGAGGAATTCTTAAAACACATAATCTCGATAAATTCATTTGAAGTCTTCCAACTTCTTGTGGGAAGACTGAGGAGTAAGTTTTTATTTTAAACCTACTCACATAATCAATTTAAAAAATGATAAATACCGTGCAGTACCTTCATCCCCGAGTCTGTGGCACTTGTCCATTATCACCTCCTCCCACAGACTGACAACCAAATCCGAATCTCGTGTCTGTTCATCTCGGAATTTCTTCAATATGTTCCGAGCCTCTGTTGACAAATCAAAGAAAACATTCAAATGTAAAAATTCACCAGACAAGACGAACAAAAAGAAAGGCATCAATAGAGTGTTAAGATATTTCTTGGCTACAGAGAATATGTACGCCTAATCTTCATAATGAGCTCCCACTTCATCTTTAGCTGAAGTATTTAACTCACTGACTGATGATACAGACATTGTGTTGGCAGGCATAGACAGATGAGAAACACAGAACCTGCATCCTGTTGGTTTTGATTTCTTCCTTAGGCTAACCAATATTAGGCCCTACCCGAACCTGATAGATCTAGGCCTAAAATCTACAAATTGTGAATAAAACGGGCAAAACTGGAAGATGGTTGACAAAGAGAATATATTGAACTAGATCTAGATCTACATCATCATAAAACAATAAATTATTCTTCTAACCCTAGCCATACCCCTTAGGCAGTGATTTGAGTTTGAGTATCTGGCACAAGGAATGGGACTTTTGATTAATGACTTTTCTGCGCTTTTTCTGTAGTTCCCACCCCGCAATTCTTAGTCGTCGGTTTTGGCCCCAACAGTAGGGAGGTTTCAGCTGACCTAATAAAAAACATGCCCCCCTGAATTTTACCATAATTTGATGTTTTGCAGTTGTTAGGTTTGATATCTTAGCTCGCCGCGCATCAAAATCAAACAGATAGATCTAGATCATCTAGATCAATGCTTAAATTAGACCTGCATGTGAGCCTCAACCAGATTGTCTGAAAATTTTGCGCAACCCCCCCCCCCCAAAAGAGCTTTCGTGGGTGTCATAAGGAAGGACTTCCGAGTAACGAGCGACCACCCCAACAAACACAACAAAGAAGAGACCTAACCCTACCCCTAAGCCTACCCCAAAAAAGAACCTGCAACGAGCCTCATGTGAAAAGGCCAGCAAAAGTCCAAAATGAAAAACATTTTTAAAATTAAAAAACCACACTCCAAATCAAACAAGGCTTACAAGGAGTATAATGGCCTACATCTACATATTGCTAGATCTATAAATAATAATGCGGTTTGATACAATAACACAATAGATTCTAGAATTGGAATATGAATCCTCCATATAGATCTAGTAAACTAAATAAATCTAGATCTAGATCTTTTAGAACAAGTGAATAGGATCTAGGAATAGGCCTTGAATTAGAAATCCGCATCCGATTCCGAACAGAGGGGCTCAGCTGAGTCTAGACTTGGTCTAGATCTAGATCTAGATTCTAAATAAATAAATAATTCACGCACCCGACGTCGGCAGTCGGCACGAAAACGAAAGTGCCGACAAAGCCGACGGGAGAAAAGGGGGACGCTGGCAGTCGGCCAGGCCTCGCACTTCGCACATTGACTGATACAGATGGGCCTTGCGATAGATCTAGCATCGGCCGCCTCGTGGGTCGCGCCGCGATTGTCGGATTTCAGACGATTGTCGGCAAACATGCAGGTCTATTAAATAAGGGGGGGGGGGTGGGAACTACCGAAAAAGTACCGATTTTTCTTACCGTCCTCCCCGAATTTACCCAAAAAATCCTGAATAAGGACAAGGAAAGTGGAATAGAAATCTAGACTACTCAAATTATGGCAAAATATGAATTGCACTACCCTTGACTTACGTCAAGTAACTGAAAAACTTAAGTTGACGTATGATGCGGGAATCTTAACAATCGCCGAAAACTTACACTACTTGGCGACTTATCAGAACAAGTAAAAGACGAGTAGCCTCAGTAGGCAGGCCTATCGAAAATTGGCACACAACTAAAATCGACCGATGTATAGCTTGATATTTAGACAATATACATTGATAATTTCTCAAAATCATGACAAAACGTGAATTGCACTATCATTTCGTAGCTCAAATGATGCAATCTGTTATATTGGTTTACGATACTAAGAAGCCGAAATTAAAAAACATATTGACTTTACCATCAAAACTCATCTGCTGCGCCATCTTGGTTGTTATAAAATACTGTATCAAAATGCACACGGAGCAATCATTTATTAGTTTTTTTTATTCATCCATATAACAAAATTTAAAAATACTTTATTTACTTTTTTTGAATACATTTTAGTAGTTAAAATTGAATTTATATGTTTTGAATATTTTCTAAGTATCAAAATATTAGTTGTGTCGATTGGAAGAGCAAACACTTTTTAATGTTTATGGTTTCATAGCAACCACCAAGGCAGTGTGTTGACGGAGTGAACCCATCGATATTGCCTCTGTTCGTTCAGGAAAAACTCTTGGAAAATGATTCCCCCAAACGCATCTCTCGTCAAATATGACAACCCAGTGCTTGTTAGTAGAAACACTGACAAGAAAACGCCTCGGGTAAGTTTGAAGTAGCTACAAATTAAACTGTAACAACATAGTAAGTCTGTGCCCTGAAATTGTTGAAGTCTGTTGCTACTGTTGGTATGTTGGCCTTGTCAAATGGCGGCCGAATGTTGTCGTCTCATAGAAACATCAAATTTTGTGAAAATCCGAAGGTTTTCTTGATTTACCAACTGATTTATACGAAAACAGTAAACGCAAATCATTAATTGATCAGTTTCGCGACAAAACGTGACGTATCCATTTTTTTCAGTTTTGAGAACAATAGAGATTTGAACTGTTCTTCACCTACTGAATGATCTTGAGGAACTTCTTTTTTAGAGTAAACATGATGTATACTTAACTGAAGTTTGCTGTATGATGAATTCTTTATTTTTTTCTTATCCCTTAAACTGACGATCTCCACACATTTTGGACAAAACTGACATATCCTTATTATAATGATAAGGAAGGGAAAGTACCGCTGACAAACTTTTTTTGACCTCAAGCAAAGTACGCACGTGACTGGAGGAAACAACTTGATTGGCACGCGGTGGATATGTCGTGGTTTGTCAAAAAAGGTTTAGCACTTTTGTTGCATTTTGTTTAAAAAAGTGCAATTTTCTGTAGTTCTAACTCTCTAACCCCGGAATTATTTTCCATGTTTTGACGGAATTTTTCCAGATCTCGTGAAATGCGTAACAAGGTATAAGCTACTCACAGAATGTTAATAAAATGGCTAAAATTGTGACAGAGAAAGTAGTTTTAATTATAATGTTTAAATAGCACTACCGTGTCTAAATAAATCTACTCGGATTCATGACATTGTCAGTAATGCTTTATGCACTCTGCGATCTCATCGGATGTTGAAACTGTCTACTCGGGGATCAGGCCAGTCTCATGGGATGCTCAGTCTCCCATTTTCACAACAGATCCTATGTGAATTCAGAAAAAAACCAGAGAGATTTTAAGGGGTCTAGGTAAATTGCTGAATATTTCTAAAAAACTGATTACCAAAGATATTTGCATTCTTTGTTGGGGAGGATCTCTTGGAACTAAGTGTTCTATCTCTGTGTGGATGAATAATGTTGTGCTTCTTAAGATTCTTCTATCCTCCGTTAAAATGTGACTCGTTTTTGTTCCAGGCGAAAGCACTGAAGGCGTCCCCCACTCCTCCAGCCCCCTCAGGCCCCGTGCCTGCTCCCCCATCCAAAAGCAAAGGATCTCCCATGGATGCTAAAGCCGCCCAGCAGACAGATGAAATTTTGAACTCAATCCTTCCCCCAAGGCAAGTGCTACTTTTGTCGTCAGAGATATGGTTTATTCTTGTGCTGATGGAAAATAAGAACTTTTTTACAGACGAGAGTGATAGTCTTTAAATTTGTATTTTTCCTTCTCTGTAATAAAAATCCACAGGCTTTTTTATGAGTAACTGAAAATTTAAAATTGTCTCTACGTTACATTCAAACTCTATTTTTTTTTTTCACATGGCTAGAATTCACTTTTGATTTTGTGATTTTGTGATCTTTCTATGTTTGGAGAAAACAGACTGAGAATTTACAATTTTAGATTGAGCACTTTTTTACTAGTTCATCCTGTTTCTCTGTCTGTTTAAATAAATATCTCTTTCCCTGTGGTCATAATCAGAAAATGGACAGAGAAAGGACAGCTTTTGGTTGAATACTCTGTAAGTTGTACAACTCGATTTCTCTATCTGTTTATCTCTTTCCCTGTTGTCATGATCAAAGAATGGACAGATTTTGGTAGAATACATTTTAATTTATTCAACACCATTTCTCTATCTGTTTAAATAAATGTATCTCTTTCCCTGTGGTGGTGATCAGAGAATGGACAGAGAACGGTCAGTTGTGGGTGCAGCAGGTGTCCAGCACTCCTGCCACTCGCCTGGACGTCGTAAACCTTCAGGAGGAGTTGGACCGACGCCTGCAGCAGAGACAAGCCAGAGAGACAGGAATTTGCCCCGTCAGGCGGGAACTCTACTCACAGTGTTTCGGTGAGCTCAAATCAGAAGGCCGTCACACTTTAGTTGTAGTGAGAGTTTCATGGTACTAATAGTTCATATCAACTATAGTACAGTTATTTAAGGGGGGGGGGGGGGGGGGAGAATGAAATAATTTTCTATTCAAAGAGAGCTGTCAATCAACATTTCACTGCTTTTTAAGTTGAGTTTCTCCTATTCTTCAAAGTATCATCCCTTAAAAAATATTGCAATAAAATTAGAAATAGAATAATTTACAAGTACCTGGAAATTACAAGATTATTTTTTTGGTATGTTTTTATTCATTTGTGAGCATTGCACGGTTGTTATTAGTGTTAACTATTAATTGATTGTGTTTGATATATCGGAGCGGTGCATTTTCTTTTTCTCTGGGCAGACGAACTGATTCGTCAAGTGACCATCAACTGCGCAGAGCGAGGACTGTTGCTGTTGAGAGTGCGAGATGAGATCAGGATGACAATTGCAGCCTACCAGACCCTGTACGAGAGCAGCGTTGCGTTTGGAATGCGAAAAGCCTTGCAAGCCGAGCAGGGGAAAGCTGACATGGAGAAGAAGGTGAGAAAGTTTTGGTGTGCGATTCCCATTTTATTACAAGCAGTTTTACAAAACAGTTATGTGATATTATTATGTTGTATAATTGTCAGTTTCATTTTTCTCTTCATATTGAATTTTTATGAAAATAGTATAAAACTTAAATTCTATGTATAAAATCTGCATGTGTTTTTACCATTCCTGCACAGCCAAAGAAACATTTCCCATAAGTATTATCTTATCTTAAAGAAAAGTGAATGAGCAATCAGTCCAAAACTGTGGGGACAAAGTAAAAATTGATCATATGACAATTTGAAATATGAACTTTAAAAAGTCCTTTTATTTCTGTCGAAGGTTTTATTGCTTTGTCGTTTCATCTTAACATACATTCCTCCACCCAAAAGACAGTGTGAATCGTATTCTTTATTAGCAGGCCTGTTAACCCTTTTAAAGAATAAAGTTTTCTCATCTCTATAAATTGTAAGACACATAGCTTGCTGTTGAGCCGCAATTTGTGCTATACGCATGCTATATATCACTATTATTATTATTATTATTATTATTGTTTTAAAAAAATATTTTAAAATTATTATTATTATTTTAAAAAAATTTATTATTATTATTATTTTTTTATTAAAAATGTTATAATTTTAATAATAATAATAATAATTATTATCTCTCCCCAGATTTCAGAGTTGGAAAAAGAAAAGCTTGACCTGGAGCGGCAGGTGAATGAGCTGAAGGCCAAGTGTGAGCAGATTGAGAAGCGAGCCAACGAGCAGAAGCAGGTGGAGGAGAAGAAGCACACGGAAGAGATCCAGTTCCTCAAGAGGACCAATCAGCAGCTCAAGGTTCGAGTTGATTTCTCAAATTCTAGGGGTTTTTTTTTTTCATTTTTGCGACACAGTATTGACTTTCTAAATACATACAGTGAAACCCGGTGAATTAACTTGTCGGTCACAAGACGTTAGAGCAGAAAAAAACAACAACTGTATCACAGTTTTTTCAAATTCTGGAAAGTCAGTGCTCGAAAGATAATTTACCAGAAACTAGAGATGATCCTTTTCTTTCATAATGTTCAACCGCTTTTGTTTGAACACTTACCTTCCTTGGCTGGGATAGTAATATCACAATTATTAATATATTCAGAATAAAAGAGTACTCAAACAAATCATGTTGAATTAGAAATTTATACAATTTTGAAACCAAAGCTTCTTCCAAATTTGATATCTGGAAAAGGACATATGTTGGCTAATTGGTTCAGTTGAAGTTTGTGCAAATTCTGGCGAGAAAATCCTGGTTTCACTGTATGGCCTGTTTTTGCTTTTCTTCATGCCGACATCTTTTTTCTTCTTTTCTTTTTTTTTTTACTAACATTTTGGAAATTTGAAACTTTATTCATGTCACCGGTGTGTGTGATTTAGCAGAGAATCGAAAATGAAAGAAGAGCAAATGAAATTGTTGTATTCCTCGTCTGTTTGTTTCAAATTGATTCAACTAACATCTCTATCTACTCACTGTGTTTCATGGGCTATGGATGATATGACTCACCAAAATCTGACAAAAAACATGAACAAAAGGGAACAAATAGTTCTGGACAGCCTTGTCGTTAATTGAGGTGACTTTGACATTACCCTGTTGCAAATGTGTGTCTGTGTGAGTGTCTGTGTGTGAGAGAGAGAGAGAGAGAGAGAGAGAGAAAGAGAGAGAGAAAGAGAGAGAGAAAGAGAGAGAGAGAGAGGAGAGAGAGAGAGAGAGAGAGAGAGAGAGAGAGAGAGAGAGAGAGAGAAAAAAGAGAGAGAGAGAGAGGGGGGGAGGGGGGGTGGGAGAAATGTTTCTCTCAGAGCTGTGGAATCATTTGAACATTTCTGTTACCGCGTATTTATCCTGGGTTCTACTGTTTATCTTGTAGAGCTGAGAGACCAATGTCGAATGCCATGTGAAATTCTCAAGTGGGGTTTCATCAAACTGTATGCCGGATATTGTAAATGTCCGAGCAGAGTCTGGATATCATTGTGGTACAACTCAGACAAACTTTGAGTTTGAGGTACAGCTTAAAGTGGGCTGTTCGTAGGTCAATAAAAGGTATTTGATTTAATGCGAAGGTCGTTTTGAAAAGTAATTGAAGTGAAGAAACGGGTCTTTAGAAGTGAATGTGTCACCAACAATGTGGTTGTAAATGCTTTATAGAATCAAGTTAGGCTGCTTATTCAGTAGCGCTTTTGCATATTTTATTTTTCGTCAGTTTTAATGTTTTACTTATTCTGTTGCAAATTTACATTTCTCTCTTCATTTTCATCGGCAAAACATCCTCGTCATAGTCTCCATCAGCGACAGCAACCACATTAAATTTTACAACACATGTAGGCCTACCATCATCGCCGTCTTCATCATTGCTATTCTCATTACAGTTATTTAGTCCTCTTTGTTCGTTCTTTCTCTCTCTCTTTTGCCTCTCAAAATTTAATCTGTCAACAACAGCCAGTCTTACTAATTTCATGTGTCATATCTAATCATTTGGCTTTTTCAAGGAATCTCTGCAAATTGCTGATAGGATGCTGGGTAATCTTCAATGCCTTGGGAATCTCTATATTTCACTGATAATTATAAAACAAATCACACTCCGAGATAACGTTTGACACTCGGAGATGTCAAAGGAGCCACATATCAAGTTGACCACGTGTTTATCACTCCTTCAACAATCTTGTCACCCGTTGTTGCATGCAGGATTTTTTTAAAATGAATCACGATCACAGCCTCAGCTTGAAATCCAAGTGTTACAAACTATCTGTCATTTTTTCTGTATCATCAAATTGCTATATCTGTCAATTTGTCTATCATTCATTGAGAACTGTCTTTCAATTTTTCTATCATTACTAGCTGTCTTTCAACTTGTCAGTCATTTTCAGATGTAAAAAAGAATCAGCAGTTTCTGTATGTTGAGGTGATTAAAAAAAACAACCCAATTGGAAATGTGTGCAAAAGACATCCTAATGAATTGATGGGAAATTGAATAAAAACCTTCTAAAAATGATATCTGATTACAGAGAAGTCAGCTCATGTGTTAAAACACTAGAATACTGCACGGTAAAATAGAATTAGCTCTTCAGTTACTGCTCCTGACAGAAAGATCACTTGTGTGCTCATTATAATTTATATCAACAGCACGGAAAGTTGTAACGGTTTCTGGCTTTGCTAGAAGTTCATGGATTTGTTCCGGTTTGTTTGTTTGTTTGTTATTCACACTTTGAGTTGGAGTGATGATTGCAAAGCTACAAGTTTTCACCCCAAAGTATTTGTGTACAGAATAATATTGTTCTGTATGTAT